CTCAGATCAAAGCAAGGATTCAGTGAGAAGGCCTGTAATGTCCTCTTGAACCACCTCAAAAAGATGTTTTCAGGCTTAAATGAAATAATTTAAAAACTCTCTGGCAAGGGGATTGGAAAAAACAATTAAGTAAACAAAACAAGCAAAACCTGGGCTGCCTCCAATGCGTAGCCATTCATTCATGCCTGATAACTTATTTTCAGTATTTCCTGTGGGAGAGCACAGCTCAAGGAAAGACTATAGGACAATTGGGATCTCCCAGAAGTTTATGGGGGCAACTAGGGAAGAATTTTTCTTATGATAAGAAACTCTATCTTGCTGTATTTTTAAAGGAAATTGGCAATTGCTTTCAGGTAGATATCCAGCATGTGTTGGGCCAGGTTGCTATTGCAAAGCACGCGGCTGAGTTTCATGAGAGCCTTTCCTTCTCCTGTGGAGAGCCCACCCCATCCCTCTCCTAATCAGGCTGCACAGCAGGGACCCTCATCATCTGCTCTGACTCACCTTTCCAGCTGAGCCCCCCACAACTGACTTCATCCGCTCCCTGCTGCAGCCATCGAGGGCTCTGAGCACCCCTGGTGCTTCCTCAGGTCCCTTCTCACCCTGGGCTGCCCGTGGCTCTTCCCTCTCTGCTCTCCCCTCTCCGTGGTAACCTCACACAAAGCCTGCCACACCCGCCCCCATGCTCCCACAGCCCCCTCGCTTCCTCTCCCTGGTCTAGCACTGATCCTACTGGCAACTTCTGCCCTATGCGTGAACAAATCTGTTTGGCACTAGGCTGCTAGTCCTGGGAAGGTCTCCGCCATCTGTGTATTCCCAAGAAATAGCAGGGTGGCTGGCACCAAGAGTAGGTGCTTAATAAATGTTTGTATGATTCACGTGGTAGTAAAGATGCATATGCACTGCTCCAGCACGTAGATCTTTTATGTTTACAAATTGTCTGAAATCACTTGAAACAGTTTCCACCCGACCCCCACCACCCCACCCATCCCTGAGATGGGTGCATTCCCAAGCCTTTGTGATTGGCCACTAGGTGGCGATGTCCTGCCTCTAAATGCTCTGCAAGCTGTGAGCGCGCCTCTCCAGGTGTTGCGGAGGGAGCTGTTTCTTCCATTTCAAGCACCGGGCTGCCCTTCAGCAAACCGTGGAGCAGGCTGACGCCCACCCCCGTGCCCCCTTTCCCTCCCTGTCACCCAGCAGCATCCCTGCAGCAGGCAACTAATTTGATTGCTTTGCACCAAATAAAAGCTGGGGCGACACTATCGCCCAAAGTCAGGCGCAGCATCCCTGCAGGTAGGGGCCCTGCACCAAAGGAGGAAGACAACCCATTGGCCCTTCACATGAGATATATCTGATAGATTCATTGGCAGCCTGAGTTCTCACCTGGACCACTTCAGGGTCCAGATGTGTCAATATGGCAGTGGCTCGCAGACAGCCTTGGGTTCAGATCCCCTGTCCAAACTTTAGTGGTCCAGGGACTATACAGAAGCCACCTTCCTCTGTGTCCACTTATGGTAAAATGAATAGGGGATATATCTGTGCATCCCCTTGCACTCGCAGGGCTGCTGTGGGGGCAGTGTCCCATGCATCACAGGTAGGGAGCCAGCATCCAGTACATGGAAGATGGCGTTGTCATTGTTTTTGCTCTAAATGCCATTAACCACTGTTTCTTGCCATGAGATGTACTCTCTTTCCCTCTTTTTTCCACACAGCCTCCAATGAGCTTGTCACCCTCCTTCTTCATGGCTCTCACTGACCTGGGAGGTTAGTCCAAGTTCTATGTCATGTACGGCAAGCAGACCCCTTTGTTGTTAGCCCAGGCTCCACTCAGAGCCTCAGTCACCCCACTGGGCCCCCTTCTGGGAGCCCTGCTCACTGATCCACAAGCACAGCCTTGCACCCTCTGCCTCCAGCCTCCATTGACTGGACTGCCCTTGCACAAAAGGTCAGGATCCATCATTCCCTCATGGCTTGCCTACAACACAGCCTCCTCTCTGGGGTCCATTAGCATCTGCCTCCTCACAGACAGAATTAGCATTAGCAACTCGTCCTCCTGGGGTCCCACAACCACGCACGTATCTGTGTCCACATCTGCAACCCCCACAGCCTGTGAGGTCCATCAGGGGAGGTGGTGGAACTGTGTGCACATACGAGCTCATTTCACCACATAACAGCCCCTTTACACGTGGAAAACCAACGCCTGAGAGGGGAGACGGCCTGCCCAAACAAGAGAGCCAGCCGGGTGCATTCAGAACTGTAGCCCACAGTCCAGCAGAAGCTGACTCTAACTGCTATGTAGGAAAGACAGTAAAGGTGGTGATGAATAGACGCCAACCTGCTTTTCAGCCCAACCTCGTGAATTGTGAAGTGGAAAGCTGACTGTGTGCGTTTTTCTTTCTTTCTTTTTTTTTTTTTTTTGCTAAAACTAAATATTTGATAACTTAAAAATTAAAGCAGTTTCTCCTAGGGATGCTGAGCTGTACCTCCAGCTGGCCCTTTCCTCTGGCCTAGAGCTGGGGCCCTGCCAGGCCAGGAAGGAGAGGCCAGCTCTGCAGAGCAGGCCCTGTGAGCCTGGCACTCAGCAGGGTCCTTTCATGGGCCCTCATTGTTCCTCCAACCATCCTGACATGCAGATGAGGAATCCAAGGCCCTACAAGCTGAGTCAACATCCAGGACCATGCAGTTGATGTGTGGAAGGGCTGGAGAGTGGATCTGAGCCAAGACCAGTGTGGCTCTGAAGCCTGTGGGCCCTTTAGAAAGCAGTGCTGCCTCGGGTGCACTCAGGGGAAGAGCGGAGAGCTGCCCCATGTGGATCCTTATGGCCTGTGGTCTGCTTAGCCATCCATTGGGGGATGCCTTTACTGCATCCAGGCCTAGGGAGTGTCCACTCTCAGGTGTTGGCATCCAGGTCCTTTGCCAGCCTCACTTTTCCCTTACACATTCTAGAAATGGACTCCTGTGTTACTCACGTGTAGCCGGCTACCCTCATTTTATGACGGGCACTGCCTGAATTATCCCCCTCTTCCTTGAGGCTCATGTCAAATGGCTCCTCCACCACAGACCCTTCCCTAACGCCTTCCCTCAGTACCCAGTGCCCGTGTCTGCATTCTGCCCTCTCACAGGCGTCTCTTGTCTGTCCACTATAACACTGAGTTTTGTTAACTTCATAACGCAGTCTAAGGCTGGGAGTTGCAACCCTGGCTGCATATTATATTCATCTGGGGAGCTTTTTTTTCTTATTATTTTCTACCAGTTTTATTAAGATATAATCAACATACAATATTGTATACATTTAAGGTATACAACATAACGATTTGATTTGTGTATATATTGCAAAATGATCACCAGAATAAGATTAGCTAACACGGCTATCACCTCACATAGTTACAATTATTTTTCTTGTGATGGGAACTTTCGAGATTTTCTCTCAGTAACTTTCAAACATGCAATACAGTGCTGTTCACTATAGTCAACCGTGCTGTACGTTAGATCCCCAGAACTTACTCATCTGAGAACTGGAAGGCTGTACCTTTGACTACCTTCACCCATTTCCCCCACCCCCACCTCCCATCTCTTGTAAACACCAATCTGATCTCTGTATCTATGAATTTGGGTTTTATTTGATTCCACATATAAGTGAGATTATACAATATTTGTCTTTCTCTGTCTGATGTATCTCACTTAGCATAACGCCCTCAAGGTCCATCTGTGTTGTTGCAAATGGCAGAATTTCCTTCTTTTTTATGGCTGGATAATATTCCATTGTGTGTGTGTGTGTATCCGTGTATATGTACCACAATTTCTTTATCCATTCATCGATCAATGGACACTCAGGTTGTTCCCATATCTTAGCTATTTTAACAACGCTTCAATGCACATGGAGTGCAGATATCTTTTCGAGATAGTGATTTCGTTTCCTTCAGATACCTATTCAGAAATGGAATTGCTGGATCTTATGGCAGTTCTATTTTTAATTTTTTTGTGGAACCTCCATACTGTGGCTGTACTACCATAGTGGCTGCACCAATTTACATTCCTACCTACAGTGCACAAGGGTTCTCTTTTCTCCATCCTCACCAGCACTTGTTATCTCTTGTCTTTTTGATGATCACCATTCTCCAACAGGTCTGAGGTGATATCTTACTGTGGTTTTGATTTATCTGGGGAGTTTTTAATGAAAATACACATATCTGAGCTCCACTCCCAGATATTCCGTCTCAATCAACTTCAATGGGACCTAGGCAAAGGCGTATTTTTAAAGTTCCAAATGTGTTTCTACTGCGCAGCCAGGGTTGAGAAACACTAGTTGAAAAGATGGAGATGTCAGTTTGCAATAAGACAGCCTCTTGAGTCCTGCTTCTGCCATTGATTAGCTGTGTCACCCACTTGAGCTACCATGCTCCCTTTCTCCTCAATCTGCCTCTTGTTATAGAATAGTAGTACCCACCCAGGCCATCCAAGGCAATGGGGTGCAGGAGTGTTTCAGAGACTGTAAATAACACTAACACTAACGTGCATTTGCCATGTATTTATTAAGCACATAGTCTTAATACACACTTGATGGATTTTTGGCAGATGCCATCATCATCATCATTGTCATTGTTGAAGCTAGCCCCCTGCCATGTCTGAGGCCATCTGAGCACGGAAGCTAGGTTTCTATCACCCTCCATGAGAAGCACATAGTGGGCTTTCAGTAAATGTTTGTTAAATGGGTGGGAAATGGACAAATGAATAAATGCGGTATGAGCTCGGGGACACAGAAACCTTTTAACGTGCTTAGTTTTTCCAAAATATCTAGCACAGAACTAGACACACAGTAGAAGTCTAAAAGATGCTTAGTGATTTAGGGTAGTGGGATATAAGATTATTTCTTCAGTTCAAGATCTAAAGTGAAATTACAAGTCCTATCTTTTGTGTCTGATTTCTATAGCAAGAAAGCAATTACGTTTGTCCTGTGTAACCACCGCCATTCAGACCCGAGGAGTCGGTTCTCTAATTACCTGTAGCTCCGAGCATAGCTGAGAAAGCGTTTCTTCAACAGCAAGGGACTCTAGGAAGAATAAAAGTGCAATTGAATGGACACACACTGAAATGCAGCCGTTGCTAATTGTACGAAAGAAGCATTGGTTTCAAGTTGGCATTAAAGTCACACAAAGAAACACAACTCCTGAGGACTCTCTTTCTATCCCTTCTAACTCCCTAAAGGGGTTCTATTTATAAAGAAAGAGGATAAACCTGACTTGGAGCCATGTGACTTCACACTTGACAAAGGTCAACATCGTCTCATGGGTGCATTTCTGAGAAAGAGTAGATCCCCACATTCATACAGCCCGTTGAGTGGTTCAAAGTGATTCCACATTCTTTGGTGCTTTTGTGGGTACACGTACACACACACACACACACACTTGTGTACGACACATATGGGAAAGGATTTGTATCTTCATCATACGGATGAATGATCGTAAGTCCAGGGAAGTGGACTGGTAGAGCTGAGCCGGCTGCTCCACCACCTCTGATGTTAATGATCCTCACAACCTTCCATGCCACCCACAGAGGAGCCTGCGGTCCTGTTGTCTCAGCAGCAGGAGCCTGGTGCTCCTCAGCCATTTGTGATTTATTGTTCACAGTTTTGCCTGTGCTTGAACTCTTCCCTAGTCCCATTATGCATGGTCCATGGTTTGCACTTGGCCATGGCATGGGTTCTAATGAAAGCTTTTTTGCCCAAGTGAGTGGAAGCAATCCCTCTGTGCCTTAGAATCCTTGTTGAGAGTCTGATGGGCACACACCTATCCACTCAGCAGCTCTACTCAGGTCTGTGAACCCCGCCCAGGGATAATGGACTTTTGTCATATTGATCACAGCTGTGTCCTTAGTGTCTGACACATAGTAGATCTCAGTAAATACATGCTACTGAGTAAATGAACAAATAAACAGTTCCTTTGGGTAAAAAGAAGTAAAGCAAGAAGCCAACTGCTACTGTACAATCTCCACTTTTCCTTCGAGCTCTGTAAACTGGCTCTGATTCTGTGCATGTCTTTATCGCAGGCATAACATTTGAATCTGAAAAAAAATTCAACTCCACGGATGTGTGATTCAAAGAGTAGCGCCTGAGCCCAGGGCCTGTCTGGGGTGTTAGAGCTGATAAAGCTAGATGGTAAGATGGCAGCAGAATTCAGTTCATCAAACAACAACGCTGCACCTCCTCCTTCAGCCTACATTCCAGGCACTGTGTATGGGGGATGTGAGGGAGCTCTACTCTCAAGGACCCCAAGTCTAGTGGGGAAGAGAAATATGCAAAAGAATCATTGTGATGTGGTGTGTTCAGTGCAATAATGGGTAGTGTACAAGGCCATAATACCACCAAAGCCATGACTATCTCAGCAGGTGAGGTCTAGGGGTACAGGGAGGGAAGTTGAGGTAGTCAGAAGTGTTCTATTATTAACCTTGAATACCAGGCTAAGGACTTGGCCTCCATTCTAGGGGCAAAGGGGCCTCATTAGAGGACTTTGAGGAGAACTACGATGCATCACTCACTATAAATGAGTGTGACATGATATAAAGGACCCTGCCCTGGGGAGTCACTGCAGGATTTCTGTGCTCCTGAAATGGTTCTGCCACACATTGCTGTGTGACCCTAAGTCACCTCTCTGAGCTTTGGTTCCACCATCTGTCAAATCATGAAAGACTGAGGCCCACTGATCTCCATGATGTCCGAAGACATACAAGGAGCAATATATCCACAGAAAACCAAATATGATGGCTACTAAGACGTTTCTATAATCATCCAAATTAAAAAATATATATGTAGTTCTTTCTTAATATTGTTTTACACTCTTGTAAGTTGCAAGTCTGTAACTACAGCCTAATTAAGAAAAGACTATAAACAAGCATTTTCCCTCAGAAAACAACTTAACTTTATGCACAATAGCACCAGGTGTGTAGTAGGTGTTCAATAAATGCTTGGTGGAGGGGTGAACGCCTGAATGAATATACCTTGATGTGCTCATGTTTTTTCTTCCTGTATTTGCACATCCAAGACTGTCTCCTGCTAGAACGATGCAGAGTACAGAAAAACCTACCTGCAATGGCTGGCTACTGTGACACTTGCAAAAGCATGTGGACTTTTCTCAAGCTCTACTCCAAAAGGGGAAGGCCGGCTGCTGGGATGAGGTTTTCCCCCTGCCTGGCCCCTTACCCAGCTCCATGTGTGGCAGCTCTGGGATGTCCTTCATGATGACCAGGAAGTAGGCATGGAGTCCCCGGTAGGCGTGTAAGAGCAGGAAGCACAGCTCCCGGTGCCACTTGTAAGCATGCTGCATGCAGTTCTCGGAGGGCACGTAGAAGCTCCCCTGCAGGAGAAACGGAAACGAAAGCTGAGTGAAATTAGAATGACTATTGCACACTGCCTCGTCCTGAAAAAAACTGGGAAAGAGTTCAAGATTCCAAGAAAAGAGAGAGCGTGAGTCTTCCCTAGACCTCTGTGCGAGAAAACCAATGAAATCTGCCAAGCCTCTGTCTTATCATGTTCAAATTAACATAACAATGAGAATAATGATGATAATAAATGATGATGAAGGAGGTGATAATGGCACTGACCTCACAGGTCTGTGACAACTGATTGGTACCCACTTACAAGCCTTTCCCTTCCCACTATAAGAAGAGGCCAAGGGGACAGACAGAGGTGGCCTCCTTTTCACAGGGAGATAAGGAATTTAGAAAGACCCTCCTAGTAGGTGGCGGAATAGTATATAGTGCTGAAGCAGAGAAAAATGCATTGTTGTAAAATCGGGAGATGTCGTGCAGTTAAAAAATCAATGTTGACAGTGCATTTTGTAAGAGGCTCTGAATGTGAGCATGCAGTGTCAGGATGTCTGTCCCTTATATTTTGTTTGTAGCTGTAGGACACATTAAACTGGTAGAATTGCACAAATATGGTTTGTCTGATGAGGAAAAGATACCTAAGTCCCCAATTTACTTGGAGATCTAGACATGATGAAAAAAGAAGGAACAGGACAGTTCTGACTTTGCAAACTCAAAAGAGAAGGACGTCTTGGGACAAATTTCGAAAGGGATTTAATGTGAGAACAGAGAAAGGAATCCCATGTGGAGGGGCCTGGGCAGCAGAAAAAGGGAAGTACTGAGCCGTGTGCTGGAGAATTCCATGGACATCCATCCACTGCTCACCTGGCAGTGAGGGAAGGAAGTAAGTAACTCTTCATGATCCCATGCTGCTTTGTCTGTCCTACTGGAAGAAACTCCAGATGGAGTGTTGGTGGAATTCCATTCTCTTGGCTTTTGTGAGTTGACTTGTGCAGCTGGTGATGTGGAAGCCTCCTGCCTCGTCTGGTCCCCTTTGTCTTTGCCACCATCTAGAGGGCTGAGTTGGTCAGTGGGGGCAGGGTGGGTCTGATAAGGATTAATATCCATCTGCACTTCATCTGCACTCCCAAAGGTTCCATGAAGGCAGACAATGATGGATGTAATTATAATTAATCACTGCATCATGATGATTGAGTCATGTGTGGCACAAGAAGCTACCAATTAGAAAACCTGGATGGGAGTCTAAGGTTTGCTGTCACCTAGCTTTGAGATGGTCTTAGGTCAGATTCCTAGGAAAGAGAACCAAGACAGAAAGATGCCTTCAAGTCATGAGATGTGCTCTCAGGAGCAACACTGTGGGAGAGTAGGATAGGGCAGAGGGAAGAGTTGTATTGCACTGTCATGCAGTCAGAACAGAAACCTTAGTTCATCCTGTGGGGATCTCTGGACATGCAGAGCTGTCTCACGTTAGAGTAGGAGCTGGTCTTTGTACCCATGCTATGACCAGTACTGGATGTGGGTTACCCTTGGGGAGGAGGTATGACCTTGTTCAGCAGTTCTCTCAGACAGGACAATCTCCATAAAAGGACTTGGCCAATTGCTGTTGGCCATTAACATCCTTGGTAGTGTGAGGAATAAGCTATTCAAGCCTGAAGATGGGATCTGGTCAATGTACCACTAGATCAACTGGAGAGACCCTCAGTAGCTCTCTCCATTCCTGAGGGCCTGAAATAAAACCTGGCTTTGCATTACAAGGTCATCAGGTCCCTTCTGATTTGAACTTAAGAGCAGCATTCAACAAGGTTTGGAATCAAAAGACTTCTCCATTTCATAAGTAGAAAATTTAGTCAGCTAGAACATCTGTATTCATCAAGCACTCAGGATAATAATCCATATATTCCTATTTCTCATCTTTCCTATTATGTTAAGATGAGAAGTCAGTACAGTTATAGAAAGACTAGCAGAGCTTATGCATAGCAGGGCGTGTGTGTCAGACTCCCCAGGTCTATGGAGCAAGAAGAAATCCACTGTTTAGGAAGCATCTAGATATTCCCATCATATTTCATCTCATTTATCTTATATGGTGCTTCAAGGAGCACCATATAAGGCAGATACTCTAATTACAATTTTCAAAATAGAATAGAGATATGGTAAAAATCTCAATATTACCAAAAGAAACAATATAAAGCATCTCATTCCCCAGAGTCCAATAATTTCTTGTAGATCCTTCTGGAAGACTTCCAAATGCATAGGTGCATATATGTATGTATATGAACTTATATATGTATGTGTGTCCCGATAACATTCACAGACACACTCCCAAATTAGCAAATGCTCTGGACATTTCTGTTCCTTGCTTGTATCACTTACTATGCCTTGAAGTTGTTTCTGATTAGATCAAATAATAAGTAATAGGAATTCTGACTCCCATTTCATAGATCAAAACATCGGCTTCAAGAATCTAAAGAGTTCTACAAGGTGGCTCTGCTTTGCCCGCACCAGAAACGAGTCTTGAGTTCAGGTGCTAAGTGGAGGCAGTCCTTTCTCAGTATGCCACACGTGCCTCTAGAAACCGTGCCCGGCAGAGGACAGATGCTCGACTAGGTCTGCTTGCCGTGGCTGAGGCATTAATTTAAGTCCTGCGGTGCCTCCGTTAGCTGTGACTAAGCAGAAATAAAAGCAGACAGGGGATTAACAAGGGCATCAGATCCAGGAACTATGAGTGCCCAGTCTGTTTGCTTCAAGCGGCTCTAAACCTTGCATTTTCTGGTCCTGCCTCCTGCTCACAATTGCATCTTCTTATCACCAAGGCCTCCTTTTGAAAATGCTTCAGGATCCATTAAAGAGGGCAAGAATCTATGAAGTCTGTTATTAAGTTTGATTTTGAAAACTAGACCCCAATATCACATGAATGTTTCAAGACAGACACAAAGAAAATGTTGGAGAATCTTCATGGGCTGATTCAATAGGATTACTGAGATAATAAGAACTCAAAATGCTCACTGAGAGAGAAACTGAAAAAACATATGGCTGGAGATTATTATAAACAAAACAAGACAAACTTGTTCTCCATAAATTACCCAACAGCATGACTTTTAGAAAGTGAGTGACATGCCGCAGAAAATCCCATCAGCTGGCCCTCTAGGCCTGCAGAGCAAGCATGGAAGAGCCAGTGTACCACCATCGGAAATGCGTGAAGTGGGTTGAAAAGCCTTGCACAATCTCCGCAGCACAAAAAAGAACATTTTAGCACCCCCTTTTTCAACAGTCTGGAAAGGACACCCTAAATAATACAACAGGATTCACACAGGTCAAGCAGAACATTAGGCTGTGTGTGAGTTCACAGTGGAAGGCTCCTGGCCAGGGCCCGTCCCACAACAGCTACATCATTTGTAGAGGGGAGAGTCATGACATGGCCTTTTAGGGTTTCTGTGAAGGATGAAACAAGGCTATTCAAGGAAAATGCGTATTTAGTGATATCCCAGTGTAATGTCAGTGTGTACTAAAAGGAACATGTTTTTTTTGAGGAAGATTAGCCCTGAGCTAACACCTCCGCCTATTCTCCTCTTTTTCTGCTGAAGAAGACTGGCTCTGAGCTAACATCCATGCCCATCTTCTTCTACTTTATATGTGGGACACCTGCCACAGCATGGCTTGTTAAGTGGTGCATAGGTCAGCACCCAAGATCCAAACGGGAGAACCCTAGGGGGAAGTGGAGCCCATGAACCTAATGGCTATGCCACTGGGCCAGCCACAAAAGGAACTTCTTTTAATCAGGACACATCCATTGATGGCCCCCAGGAACATGTTTATGGATTATGTGGCTCAAACATCAACGGCGATCCACTTAGAAACCTAAAAACAGATTTTAACGTAATTGAAGTCTTTGGGAGCTTTGCAGAGACGTGATTCGGTTGGAACACAGTACCTTGCTCATGAATCGACCGTTCACTATCAGGGTCACTGAGCTAGTCCCTTAACACCAGAAGCGTCAGTTTCCTAACGTGGAAAGTGGGGACAATAATAAAGTCAGAGTGCTTAGCAGAGTGCCTGGTTTATTTTAAGCACTTATTAAAGTTAGTTAGAGAGTTGTGCTTTTTACTTCATTGATTACCTGACAGAGATAGCGAAACTTGCTATCAAATTCCACCTTTATATAACTACCTCTCATGTCCACATCTCTAAATCTAACTCCTGCCCTGGGCTCTAGATCTCTAGAGATTCCAAACTGCTGATGGGATAGCTTGCCTGTTGTCCCAAACGCATCTTAAAAGGAACTTATCACTGTCCCCCTTACCTGATCCTTCTCTTCCCTCTGGTCTTCATTGTGGACCCACTTTGCCCAACACCCAAGAAAGCCATTGAGTTCTCCTAGCCCACAGACTTCTCTCACACCTCAGGAATCTCATAAAGTTTTGAGGGTTCTACCTCTAAAACGTTCTTGCTCCCGTCCTAGTTCAACTCATTGATATTATTCAATCGAATTATTGAAACAACCTTGTAATGACCCACTGCTCTGGTCTTACCTTCCATCTGTGGCACAGAGTATGGAAGTTGATTTATAGCATTACTCACTGTCTAAAAGATCAAGATCCAATTCCTTAGCATGGCATTCAAGGCCTTAAGCCCTGGGCACATTTTCAGGGTCTCTGCTGCCTCCTGTTTCACTCCAGAGCTTTAGCTGATTTTCTCCTTTGAAAGGCCTGTCGCTTTGCTGCCTGAAACTCACCACCAAGACTCAGGTCAATGTCACCTCCTCTGTGAAGCATCCCCAACCACTCCCTCCTCTCAGGTCCCTTGAACATTCCTCATTAGACCACAATTATTTCTGTATATCTCTCTCTCTCCAAACCTCCCTGAACTCTGTGAGGGGAGAAACAGTGTGTTGTCTTTGAACTTGAAACACCTAGAACATAGAAATTCAATGAACACAAAGACAACGAATGGATGAAGGAAGGAACGAATGAATTGTAGCACAGGTCTCTACAGGTCTGGACAACATAGACTTGATGAACACAGGCCTGGATTT